TTATCACACCAAACGTTATCTTTTAACAAGACCTTTAAAATGAGGGCTCACAACATGGGTAGGGGAGCGAGTTGGTCTAGTGGTTAGAGCGCGGGACTCCGGTTCCTGGGGTCCCGGGTTAAAATTCCGCCAAATCACCAATGAACTTTATCTAAGTGATAATGCCGTAACCCCTAGGTCTAGCCTGAAGTAATGTAGAAAAAAATTACGGGCTCGTGCCTAGCGTCCAAGGAAAAAAAAAACACGGGTCTTTACATTTAATCTCTCTACCAATTAAAATAGGTGCAAAAATAAGGACAAAAAAGAGATTTAAAATATTAAAAAAATAATATGGGCTTTATGGTGACGAAATAACAACGAAATATAAACATAAAATCAAAATACCCCCGCCACAGCAAACCTGCCGACTAAGCGAATTTCCATTTGTCTGAATTGATTTTCAGTTAAATATATTTTAATAACATTAGGTTTAACGAGTACCTAGGTTTGCGGCTACAAGGAAACTAATAAAGTATGTTTTTAAGTAAAATATTGATAGCTTAGTACAAAATAAATAAATTTGCCAAGTTTGATCAAAATATATTCATAAACAAGCAAACTACAACATTTGACAATATTCTCCATAAGAATAACATGGGAATTTTAAATTTCCAATTTTTTTAATTTTCTCCGTTACTAATAATCGAACAAAAATACTTTTATATACTAAATTATTTGTTTTTTTAAGCTCTTTAAAAATGTCTAAAGAGAAATTGGGAAATTTTGTGTTTTGAGGGTCAAAAGTGAGAAAAACCAATTTTTACCCCATAAAACCCCCCGTAAAGCCCCGTTCCCATGGTCCGATCGTGCTGGTTCGCGAACTCATTCAAGTTTATCCCGCTTTACACCTTTAAACCAAATTTCATCAAAATCGGACAAAAAGTACTCAAGTTATCGCGTTCACGGACGTATATATATATATATATATATATATATATATATATATATATATATATATATGTCTATATATATATATATATACATATATAAAAATTTTAACGAATAGTGTTTTTGGCCTCTGGGGACATCAAAATGAAAAAGTAAATCGGTCCCGGGTCTAGGTCTTACCGTGCCACCTACGGTAATAGCTACTTCCCTATAGGGAAATTCGCTAACAAATGGAAGAAATTCCATTTGCATGTTTTATTTACAGTGTGGGGTGGAAATAGAGAATCCTGTACATTACATATTTTGGGTTGAGTTTTCGACCATTGGACGACCTCTAGTTTTTATTGAATCAGTGAAGAAGCGACTATGTCATTCGAACACTATTGTCTTTCAGAATACTACGACAAAATAGGCTGTTGAAAACACTAATTAAAATACTAAACAATATTTTCAAATCAGCTGGTATTATTAGATTTGGCAAAACCGCACTGTCCTCATTGGCTCTGTCGAAGGCTCCTCCCTCACCTGCAAACTTTCATGGTCCCGACTGTAGTATGATGTATTTAAATATTGCAAACTCTTCCAACGTAATTAATAAATTTCCTTTCCCGTAGCAATGTAGAATTTCGAGACCATCGTTTATATCCAGCATATAAATTTGTTACTATTGTCAATAATTTTGAATGGAAAACTCAATTATGAATCCCTTTATATTTTCAACACTCTTCTCCGTCACTACACTACAATTAGTCCAATATAAGCTGTAGATAAAACAGACGACAATCCAGAGACCACGTCGATCCGCCATAACCTGATTCACAACCTGATTTGGAAGAACCTTTGAACAGTATGAAAATCGTATCGGTGCATCTTTTTGTGGTAAACACTTCCGCGATTTCATCAGTGTAATGCAGATTAAATCCATGCTTTTATTTGAGAAAAATATGTTTTTCGAGAAGGCACGTTCTTACTGCAAAGGGAGTTCCACCCTTAAGCTGTGTAAGTTTTATTTTTTCCTTTGTCAGTCATCATACTGTACTTTTGTGCAGAGGTGCTCATCCCCCTCAAACCCAGTGGCACAATTCCCCCCCCCCCATTTATTCTGCCCTCTATTTTAACCTGCCCTCCAATATACCTGGTGATTTCCACTTTACAACATAAAACAAACATTTCAAGTATTTAGTAAACTTGAGGTAAAGAAAAACAAACTTGCTGATAATCAAAATTAAACGTTTAATAGGAAACGTCATTTAACAATACAAAGTTATATCTAATTAATGGACGAATTATAATTTTTTTTTTCAATTTACAATTAGAATCAGTATTGTCAGCCAACACGTGCTCAGTATTAAAATAGGTAACGGCAACGTCTTCAAAACTTTCAACAATATACTCGGTGAATTACTCTACTCCAATACAGTACTGGAACTGTATAATTTATTTAGGTGGTGTAAATTTTCATAGGACTTGAGAAATCAAATAACTTTAAGTACACGAATAATACTTTGGCAAAAAGTATCTTGTTTCAAAATTAGGTCACGAAATAGGGCAGACTAGGAGGGGTTGCTCGCCACTCCCAGGCTGCCTTCTACAAAAATCGCCGGGCAAAATACCCACAATACCTTAAATGCCCCACCAGCACCACAAAAGGTTTTGTGACGAAGTACGGTAATTTTCATTTTGATAGTCCCAGGTTTGCGTTTTATGACTAATAATGGTAGTTTTTTGGCGGTTCTTTAACTCCACCAGCCTTAGGCTTACAAAAGGATCCACTTTTGGAGGTGTCGTCAGAATATGTTACAAACATTAAACAAGAAACACAAAACGATAACAGATAGGCCTATCAATTTACGAGTGTACATTGCCGCGGGCAGAACTGGAAGTAAACTGAATCAGGTTATGGCGGACCGACGTGGTCTCTGGATTGTCGTCTGTTTTATCTACAGCTTATATTGGACTAATTGTAGTGTAGTGACGGAGAAGAGTGTTGAAAATATAAAGGGATTCATAATTGAGTTTTCCATTCAAAATTATTGACAATAGTAACAAATTTATATGCTGGATATAAACGATGGTCTCGAAATTCTACATTGCTGCGGGAAAGGAAATTTATTAATTACGTTGGAAGAGTTTGCAATATTTAAATACATAATACTACAGTCGGGACCAAGAAAAGTCTTGTGATTGGCCCCCGCCAACTGCAAACTTTCGCGGTCGTTACTTTAGGGGCAGAGCACACAAATTTTGAGTGAAAACACTCGAATAATTAACTATGAATCCAATTATATTTTCAACACTCTTCTCAGTCACTACAATAGTCCAATATCAGCTGTTGAAAACGCAGACAACAATTCAGAGACCACGTTGGTCCATCATAACCTTAACCTGACCTGTTTCAGTTTACTACCAGTCTTGCCAACGGCAATTTACACGCGTTTATTGATAGGCCTATCTGTAATCGTTTTGCATTAAATGTTTGTAACGTACTCTGACGAGTGACGACACCTCCAGAAGTGGATATTTTTGTAAGCCTGGCGATCGTGGACATAAAGGACCGCCCAAACATTTGTAGTAAGTAAAATTTGACCCTACCGTACTTGTTAAGGATTGTCTAACAAGGTGCGTTTTTACCATTCTTAGACGCAATCTTAATTACGAATGGCAAAATGTTGTTGGTAGTGTTAAAAAATTGGTCGTGGGGTTAGCTGTTGGAATTTTAAAATGACATGCGAATGTCAGTTGTCTCAGCCTTATCAATCACATGAAATTGTCAAATATAATCCATCTTCAGAATGTTAGAATGCAGTGGAATATACTTGTAGTGAAACTGGCTTTTATTCTTGAACTGTTAGGGGCTTTGTTAATATGGTCACGTGGCTTCATTGGCAAATAATAATGCAAATTACAAACCAATGACTATGCATTTCCAAAAAAGAAACTGTAAATTAGCTGTTACGTAATTAGTGACGTTTACTTGCATTGTTGTTAATCAACGTAGGCTATCTTCTAAGAATAATGAGATCTAGTTTAAAAGGAACCTTTCTGTCATGACAGCAGCTGCTTAAATAGTAATAATTCTTTGTGCTATTTTTTTACAGTCGAAGTGTGGTGACATTTTTTTAACAAGGTTTACGAGTTCCCATTATGCTCCTCTTCTATAAGTATAAAAGAGGATGTTTGTATATATATATATATATATATATTGGTTTGGCAGTGATAAACTCAGACACCGCTGAACCGATTGCCACGAAACTTGGTACATACGTGTAGAATTTCATGGAATAGGTTTATACACCATCAATTTCGTGATCCGTCCAATCGGCTCCGCCCCAGTGGCTCTGGAGTTTCCCATGTTAACCTTATGAGAAATGGAATTAATGAATCTTAACAGCTGTTTCAATTAAACAAGTTGGTTCTGTTCTATGATGTTCAATAGCATTAAAGTTGCAAGGATTACCAACAGGGTGCAGCACTATTATTTCTTTTACATTAATGACAACAGCTAATTTGCAATCAAAAGGTGGGTGAGCGTACCGAACGAACTTTAACCTGGAGGCGAGTTAGCGTAGTGAACGAGCTAACCTGAAGGCAAGTGAGCGTAGCAAACGAGCTAACCTGAAGGCAAGTGAGCGCAGCGAACGAGCTCCAACCTAAAGGTGAGTGAGCGTAGCGAACGAGCTCCAACATAAAGTTGAGTGAGCGTAGCGAACGAAACGAACTTCAACCAGGACGTGATTGAGCCATGCGAACAAGATCATCTTGAAAATTAAGAAGTTAAACGGGGCAAAGCCAGCGGGATTATAAATAGTCAAAGGCAAGACAACTTCTGCCGGGTTCAGCTAGTATTAATATAAAAGCTAAATGTTTAGGCAATATTGTTTTTACACAACCAAAGCTTTGAGATTGTGATTGCTAAAGCGCATATTTTAAGATGTTAGATAGGAGAGTTTAAAATGTTCAGTATCTTAACAGGACACAGTTAGAAAGCACAGCTAACTGTTGACTAACAATTTATTCACAGACTAACAAATGTTTTTAGACCTAACTTAAAAAATTTTATTTCAGTAACTTACATTGCATGTGCCAGCATCTCCATATTACATTGTTCAATCTTATTTTGTCTTTCCACCGCAACCGAATTCCTTTGAAACGATTCCATTTTGGTGATGTAAGTTTTTGCCTGGAACAAGAAACAAGTTATTTAGAGATTCAATCTTTCAAACATGACCTAAATTTAGTTTTGTCTATTTCAATGTTAAAGGCTCGCTACAAAGCTCATAATAATTCCCTTGCCCCAGCAAACCTGCCGACTAAGCGAAAATCCATTTGTCTTAATTGATTTTTAATGAATCTATTTAAATAGCATTTTAGGTTTAACGAGTACCTAGGTTTGCTGCTACAAGGAAACTAAGAAAGTGTATTTTTTTTGTAAAATATTAATAGCTTAGTATAAAATAAATAAATTTCCCAAGTTAAACAAGCAAACTAAAACATTTTACAATATTCTCCATAAGAATAACATGGGAATTTTAAATTTACAATTTTTAGAATTTTCTCCATTACCGAAAACTGTACAAAAACACTTTGATATACTAAATTATTTGCTTTTCTAAGCTCTTTAAAAAGGGTTAGAGAGAAATTGGGATAAATTTGTGTCTTGAGGGTCAAAAATGAGAAAAACAATTTTTTGCTCCATAAAACCCCTTGTAAAACCCCGTTCCCATTGTCCGATCATGCTGGTTTGGGAACTCATTCAAGTATATCCCGCCTTACACCTTTAAACCAAATTTCATTAAAATCGGACACAAATTTCTCGAGTTATCGCGTTCCCCGATGTAAATATATATATATATATATATACATATACAGGGTGTTTGGTAGTCAGTGTCAAATATTTTAAGGCATTATTATGCACACAAATTGCTATAAAAATACACAATTTGGGTAGTTATATCTCACTCCTACTTCCGGCAACAGCCATTTTTTAGAATTTTCCAAATTTCTTGACATTGCCTAATAAAATCTCATATTTCTCAACTTTTAACCTACATAATGATATTTGCAATGGCATTTTTAGAATCGTCATTAAATTTTATATCAAAACACCTATAATATGGTACAGCTAAACCCATTTAAAAGTTCTTAATATTGACTTAAATAACAAATTTTGAAAAATCAATAAAAAGGGCGCTACAACTCGCTTAAGAAAATTTTTTACCAAGTCGTGTTAAAAACTGTCAAATAGTATAAAAAACATCTCCACATTTTAAGCTTTAAAATGATATGCAATATGTGACATGTAATGTATATAAAATTTTGAACGAATGGGGTTTTTGGCCCGTGGGGACATCAAATTAAAAAAAAAAAAAAATCGGTCCCGGGCCTGGGTCTTATCGTGCCACATACGGTAATAGCTACTTCCCTATAAGGAAATTCACTAAAATGAGTATGGTTTAATCATTTGACTTATTTTTCTAGTTTTTAGAATATTAACATTTGAGTTTTATTTTTCTGCACATCCTAATAATACAATATCGATCGTGCTTTCTTCTAATCATCCAAGTGATTTAATGTTTAGAATTATTTATGGTGACTTATAAATTGCTATAGGCCTATGATAAATTGTCACTAAATTTTAATGATAAACTTAAAAGCTAGTATACTAATTTTAAAGAATATGAGGTGATTTAGGCCCGGTTCACACGAACGACATACCTAGCAGACTAGGCTTGGACTAGGTAAGCACGACTGGGTAGCGGACCACAGGATCACACCGGTTCACACGAGCGACATATCTACGGACTAGGTGAAAATATAGATATTAAAACCACTCGGTTCCATCACTGGTGCACAATGAGAACAAAGGTAAGAATGCGAGCTGCAGCTCGACTACCCGGTCGCTCGTGTGAACGCTCCCATAAGGCTACATGTACTGCTACGCAGTTCGACTGGGTAGTTGCCACGACGGACTGGGAAGCGGGGCCCGACTAGGTTTTGGGACATCAAGCTCGAACACGACTAGCTAGTCGGCGTCCAAGGCTCGTGTGAACGGCTCCATTTGATCCTGTGGTCCGCTACCCAGTCGTGCTTACCTAGTGCTTACCTAGTCCAAGCCTAGTCTGCTAGGTTTGTCGTTCGTGTGAACCGGGCCTTACTCCTGAGAATTGTTAAAACAGGAATGTAGGACAAATCTATATGGGTGCTACAACAAAGATATTAGTAGTAGTGATGTGGGCCGGGTAAATACCCAGTGGGTATGTAAATATAAATTACCCGGGTATTTACCCCAGGCCCGGGTAAATACCCAAAAACTGGGTATTTATAATTTTTATTAAAGTTAGAGAAGATTGAGATGTTTTTTTTTTTGCAATTATTACCCTGTAAGGCTAGTAAAATGATGATAAAGTTTGTTAAACAAAATTTAATATGGTCACTACTAGCATTTTACTTCTGGGTATAATCACCATAAATACCCAGGTCTGAGCATGAAGCATAATCAGCATAAATACCCTGGCCGCATGGTTGCACTGGTCCTGACTACTTATGATTTTTTAATTTCTATAATAGATAGATGAATTTATTTTATTGAAAGTGAAAAAAAAAATTTGCAAAGTAATAATTATTATTTAGAAAGACAGGAAAATTTAACATAGTATTGGCCTATGTGTAAAAAGCGTAAGAAAATAATTAAAAATTCAATCTGTAGAATGGTAGGATTTAATAATATTTTTGTTCTAGATCTTTTGTTGGTATCAATGATATCAAAATAAAAAAAAAACTAATTTCATAAACTTGTGATACAAAACATTTGAATCTGTAGCACAATAAATCTTTCAAAATCTATCTATCTATCTATATATTAATAGGCAAGCATGTTTCTTTAAAACCTTTTTTCTCAGCTCGTGTGCATCGCAGGGGAAATCTACCCATACTGTTAGAAAGATATTTGCCTGTAGATGTGCAGAATCCCTTTATAAATTAAAATAGGCTAAAAAATAAGCACAAAAAACGAATTTGAACACTTCAAAAAATTAACATGGACCAACTGGGTTGCCATGATGGTGACGAAATAACAACAAAATGTAAACAGAAAATCAAAACAAATGGAAGAAATCCCAATCACATGTTTTATTTACAGTGTGGGGAGAAAATAGAGAAGTCTGTACATTAATTATTTTTGGTCCAGTTTCGACCACAGGACGACCACTAGTACTTATTTAATACGCAAGCAGGATTTTCGTGACAATTACTCCTCCGAAACTACTGAACCTATTGACATGTTTTTGGTGTCATTGGAAAGAGCGTAACGTGAAGTTGTGCAGGAAACTTTCTTTTTAGGGAAATAATTAGAGAGTGAGGCCCTGGGGCCCTTTAAAGTTTCGTATTTCTCCATAAGATTTACATGGGATACAAACATTGCTTTGAAACTCCAGCTGTTGTCAGAAATTAAATATTAATAATAATTGGTCTCCATGGAAGCATGAGAAAATTCACAATGTTTACATTTGCTTTGACATTTAAATGTAAACAACCAGAATTGGCAAATGCCTATTTAACAATTTCAGACAGCTGATCCAAAAAAATAAAACAACTATGTGGTAGGTTTATTTAAAAAGACTAGCATAGTACCCGTCCTTCGTACGGGGTTGGAATATAAGTATAAAATGCTTATTGCATTTATAGTCAAGCTTTGCGTTTGCAATAAGGGAGGACACAGTTTGATAAAATTTGCTTTATTAAATTTACAGTATTCTATAGTATTACACATCTACCATAGCCATAATGTTCTACCACTTCACCTAAACAATAGAGAAAAATAAATTATCAACAATTGGCTAAATATCTATATATTAATTTGAAACTGTTTTTCTTTGTCACAGCTATTTTGAGAGAACGGCTGGGCGTAGAAACTCGGTAGAGCTGTCTAAAGAAAGGTCTTGGTCTGTAGATGAGCCATCAAAAGAGAAACATGGTGAATTCCCTTGGGGCTCTGCCCCAGTGGCCCTTGAATTCCCATCCCATGTTATTCTTATGGAGGAAAACGGGGATTTTGTCACAGCTAATTTGAGTGAACGGCTGGGCGTAGAAACTTGGTAGGGGTCTCTAAAGAAAGGTCTTGGTCTGTATATGAGCCATCAAAAGAGGAACGAGGTCAATTCCCTTGGGGCTCTGCCCCAGAAGCCTTTAAAGTTGCCTCCAGATTTGTTTACATTATGACCATATGCATAATTCTACACTACTTTTTAATGAAACAGCTGTTAATATTCAAATTGTGATTTATTGAATTTGTCAAAATGAAGTACAGTATTTGCAATGGGTTTTTCTGATTTTAAAATGGATTTTCTTCAGCATCGTGTCATGTTTTGCAATATAATGTTCTACTACCAAATCAGTGGAAAATCCTATCATCACAGTAACTCTTTTCTTTTGGAGTTAACTTATATCTATTGTATGGGTTGGTTTCTGCCTTTTTTACCACTTCTTGGAGATTGTACGTAGGTGATATTCGTTGGCATATTGCATCTGTAGACAAAACTTGGGTTGGTGTACAGAATGGAAAAGAGTGAGAAATCCTGGACAATTTGATATAGGCTAAAAATAAAACTGAATTAACACTGTTTTACATTTCTTGAGCAATCATTGAAATAACCGATTTGCAAACAATGGAAACATAGAAAAAGTCATAGAAAACAACCAAGTAGAAGAAATAGAAGTAATGTTTTTTTAAAATTTATAATCGTTATCATAGAAAATCTAATGCGACTATGAGAGGGAAAGATATTTTGAAAACACTAAAACAAGATCAGCTTTTTGAAAAAAGATAAGATATTTACAAAAGATTTTGATTATATCTAACTGTTGTGTAGATTGTGAGTATTTCCATAATCTTTGAGTCGCCTGTAATGCAATTGCTCGAATTCGAGCAACAGGTACACTAGTCTATATATTAATTTGAAACTATTTTTCTTTGTGACAGCTAATTTGAGAGAACGGCTGGGCGTAGAAACTCGGTAGAGGTGTCTAAAGAAAGGGCTTGGTCTGTAGATGAGCCATCAAAAGAGAAACGAGGTAAATTCCCTTAGGGCCCTGCCCCAGTGGCCTTCAAATTCCCATCCCATGTTATTCTTATGGGGGGAAAACGGGGTTTTGTCACAGCTAATTTCAGAGAATGGCTGGGCG